GCCCTCCTGCAGTGCCAGCTGTGGTTCTGCTGGAGCAGGGATCCTGCACAAGGCTGGAGTTTTCCTCTGGAGCTCCAGGGCTGCTGTGGATGGGTCTGCTCTTCCTCTGGGAATGCAGGGCAGGAGAAAGCTGCTCCTCTGGGAATGCAGTGGGCAAAGGCTGCTGGGGTGTTCCAGGCTCAGATTGTATCCAGGTAGGAATGCTTGGCTCCTGCCCTGGGCGGAGCATCTCCCCATGGGATGCTGGAATTTGATCAGCCATGCAGGGACACTCAGTGGCCATGAACAGCAGAGATCTGCTGGAGGGAGGATTGGCTGTGGGAGAGATAAAGAAAACTGCCCCATGAACAGCAGAGAGCTGCCCAGCTCTGACAGGTGGGGATAGAATACACACCCTCATTTCCAACCTATGATACTCTCCCCTCAGGAACCTCTTGAGCTCAAAGACACCCGGATGGGACAGGTGCCCTCCACACTTACAGCACAGACACAGTCCCAGCCTCAGGAAGTGTCTGCATGTCTAACAGGGTGTTACTGCAGCACAGAATTGCGTTTGTTTACTCTGGTTCCTTCAGGGAGCAAGTTTCTGCAGACACCTTGTTTAGTCCCTCAGTGCTGGTCATCCCAGCAATTCCTGAGCTGTGTCAGGGACAGTGGGAAGGAAGGGCAGTTGTGGTGGGGCTGCCTCCAGGCCTTACAGATGTTCTTTCATCACACACAGGGTACAGAGAATTCCGCATTCTATCCTCCGGTCACTCTCGGATCTGCAGGTGAGACACGGGTGCTGGTGGCCTTTTCTCCTGGATAAGGCTGTTCTGCTGCTGGCCAAGCCCAGCACTTTCTCTGGACCTTGGCCCCTCTGCTGTCCTAGCCCTCAGGTGGCACTGGGTGGCACTGGCAGGGTCTGGCAGGGCTGCCCAGGGAAGCTGTTGTTGTGGCACACCTGCAGACACACAGGTGTGCACAGACGCAGCTCTCCAGCGAGCTGACAGCACAGTCACCTCAGTGAGCTGGGCTGGGGTGGCTCTGGCCAGAGCAGCCCTCGGAGCAGACACAGGAAAGGTGTTTGGGCTCCGTGGGGCTGTTGGGGTGCAGCAGGAGCTGCTGCAGCGCAGCGGGGTGGGGGCTGAGGAGGAAGGAAGCTGCAGAGCCCAGGCACGAGCAAACAGGAAGAGCAGTGGGGATGTGTCAGGAAGGATGTGCAGTGCCCCAAGGGCAGACCTGGCCTACCTGAGCTGGGCCCCAGGGACCTGTGTCCCCAGATACGCCCCTGCCCTTCCCTGCTGGGCAGGGGGAGCCCAGCTGTCCTACTCTGAGGTACCCGGGGTGGTCGTGGGTGCACAGAGGTGTCCCCACTGGGGCAGGGGTTGGGACGGTGGAGTGGCACAAGGAGCACACGGGCAGGCACTGAGGGTGGGAGGCTCTGAGCGAGCCCTGGCACATTCCAGGGGCATGGGGAACAGCCAGGGCATGGCCTGGGCAAAACAGGAAGAGCAGTGGGGATGTGTCAGGAAGGATGTGCAGTGCCCCAAGGGCAGACCTGGCCTACCTGAGCCGGGCCCCAGGGACCTGTGTCCCCAGATACGCCCCTGCCCTTCCCTGCTGGGCAGGGGGAGCCCAGCTGTCCTACTCTGAGGTACCCGGGGTGGTCGTGGGTGCACAGAGGTGTCCCCACTGGGGCAGGGGTTGGGACGGTGGAGTGGCACAAGGAGCACACGGGCAGGCACCGAGGGTGGGAGGCTCTGAGCGAGCCCTGGCACATTCCAGGGGCATGGGAAACAGCCAGGGCATGGCCTGGGCAAGAGGACAGCGGGCATGGGAGGATTCATCCTGGCTTCCCGTGGGCTGTGTGGTGTGATGCCCCCAGAGCAACCCCACTGCACCATGCCAAGCAGCCTGCCTCACGCCTCCTGCCAGTGGCCGTGTAGCTGGCTCTTGCCCATGGGTGGCACCAGTGCTGGCCATGGCGTGTCACAGAGGGCATCGAGCACACGCCGGCAGCCCCGGCGGAGCTGCCTGTGGAGCCAGCCGGGGCTCTGGGGAGGCCGGGCCGTGCCCGGGGCAGGCCGGCCGTGGGGAGCAGGGCTGGGCGGGCAGGCAGAGCCGAGCCGCAGAGATGTGGCCGGTATGTGTGTGGGCGGCAGCCGGGGTGGGGGAGAAGGAGGGAGAGGAAGCAGCAGAGGCAGCAGCTCCTTTGATAAGCGGCTTCCTGAGCACTTGCAGACCGTGCTGCCAGGCCGACGCGCGGTGCCCGCGGGCCTGGGCCCGGAGCGGGGAGCCCTCGCCACAGGGCAGCAGGTAGGCAGCCCCCAGGCCGCCAGGCCGGACAGGAGAGCCCCCGGGCCTGTGCCGGGGCGGTGGGCATGTGTGTGTGCGTGGCAGCGCCAGGCAGGCTGGGATGCTGGGCAGGCCATGTGGGCGCTCTCCCTGCAGCTGAGGTGCTTCCCTGGCATCTCCAGGTGTTTCCTGGCCAGACTGAGATGGGAGCCTGGGCTGTCTCTGGGCAGCAGCTGCTCTCCTCATGCCTGGATTGAGAACACCCTGCGTGGGGCATGGGGATGGTGTGAGTGGCAGTGGTGGCACTGCCGCTCCCAGAAATGGGCAGCAGGGAATCCTGGGGAGCAGCTCCTGCCCTAGCTGTGTTCCCAACCACCATGTGGACACCAGCTCTCCATACAACCTCCCCGAGCAGATGGGCTGCCTGGGATCCCACTCTTTGCCCACCAAGAGCTCTGACTCTGCATCATTCCCTGCCTCTGGGTCTGTTTCCTCCTCATGGAGGAAGCAGGGGATGAGGAGGAAGTTCAGGATCCCCGGGTGCTGCCTGCACCATGAGGAGCTGTGCCCAGAGGTGAGTCAGCATCACCTGCACCTCACAGCCCTGCCAGGGGCTGACCCCTGGCTGGTGATGGAGGATGTCTGGCACCTTCCCCAGCTGGGCTGCCCCACGGCCTTTTGCTCAACCACACAGATAAAGCAGTTTCCTCTCAGCAGTTGCTGTGACCTGCGGGATGGAGGAGGCTGTACTAGGGCCATGAGGCTGTAGAGGGTGCCTGGTCTGTGTGTCCCTGCAGCAGGAGATGGCCAGGCTCCGTGCAGTGGCTACAGCCACCTCATGTCACCTGCTGAGCACTGCTGTGCTCAGACATTCCAGCTCTCAGTTCCCCACCATGTCCTCAGGAGGAAGCAAGGAGACAGTGATGGGGAAGGGCTGGGAACAGAGGGTATGTGCTTCCATGGAGGTGGAGAGCATCTGGGGCTCCCCCAAACCAGACCTGCCCTGCCAGCACAGGGTGGGTGTCCTCCCCTCAGAGGAAGCAGGTGGCCCTTGGTGCCATGCCCAGGGTCACCAGTGTGGGCTGCAGTGCTGCAGGCATCCCCAAGGGTGACTGTGCTGGGAGCTTTCCAGGATATCTGCCTGCGTACTGGGGCTGGGGGTCCTGCTTCCAGGACAACTGAGCAGTTAAAATCCATCCCTTGCTTGCAGACCATCTGTGGGGGCTCCGTCCAGCCTTGTGGTGTCTCTCAGATCTGACTTTTCTTTTCCAGCTGCTTCTCCTCTGATGGCTCCATGATCTCCCAGGAGCTGAGAGCCCCCCGTGTGGCCCTGCTGTGCTTCAGGACGAGGGCTCTGTGCTTGCTGCAGCATGGTCCAAGCCTGCTTGGTGTGCTCCAGAATTCATAGGGGCAGCCTGGCAGCCCGGGCAGCTGCAGTGGACATGGACAAGCCAGACAAGCCCAATCCCCCTGCCAAGAAGCACGTGCGACTCCAGGAGAGGTGAGTGTGCCTCAGGGTACCCATGGCACTGCTCATCCCAGGGCTCCCCTGGCACTCCTTCCTGCCAGCCCTCTGCCTGCCAGGTTCCCCTGACATTCCTTCCTGCCAGCCTCTGCCTGCAGCTGCCAGGTCTGAGTGTGGGGGCAGCCCTGGCCCCCACCCAGCCCAGGACAAATCCCGACACCTTCAGTCCTTCAGGGGCTTCCCTGCAGAAAGACAAAATGTTCAGCTAGCTCCTTGTTCCTCAATCTCCCCATCTGCTGGGGTCTCCATCTGGCTTTTGCTCAGTGTGGGGTGGTTTTAACTGATGATGCAGTGGGGTGGGCTGTCCTTCTGTCCCAGGGTGGCAGTAGGTCAGCCAGGGACCCCTGTGCCTTGCAGGAGGGGCTCCAATGTGTCACTAGTGCTGGATATGAGCTCTCTAGGGAACGTGGAGCCCATCCAGCCTGTCTGCACGCCACGGGACATCACACTGAAGTTTCTGAGGACATCCAGCCACGTGCTGAGGAAACAGGAGCTCCAGCAGCACGCCCAGAGCCTGGCACAGCTCCAGGAGGAGTTTTCGGTGTGATGATCACGATTTTCTCTCTTCCTCCTCTCAGGAGGAGTGGCAGGGGTTGGCGGTGGTGGGGCTGATGGGGTGAACATTGGGCTCTGAGCCCACCTGTGCCCCACAGCCCCAGTGGGAGGGCAGGCGGTGTGGGCAAACAGAGGGGAGTGGTGCCCAGGTCCCACCTGATCCCTGGTGCACACAATTCCTGTTGGGGTCCCTGGAAATCCCTGTCCTGCCCTCCCATGCCATGCTCTTCTCCCAGCACTGCCTCTCTGGAAGGAGTCCCACCACAACTGGAGTAAAGGCAGGACTCATCCCAGGAGCTGCCATCTCTGGGGATGCCCCTGGGTCAGCTCTGCCCTGCTGGGCAGCCAGGTCTGCCACCACCAGGGGACACAAGTGGCAGCAATGGGCTTTTCCTCATGGCTGTTTTCTCCCCCTGCAGAAAATCCCACCCAACTTTGTGAGTCCGGAGGAGCTGGAAATCCCTGGGCGTGCTTTCAAGGACAGATACAAAACCATTCTCCCCAGTACGTGCCACTGTGTCCCTTTGCCCCCCATTTTGCCTGTGTTTGCCTGTGGGTGAGGGGTGGCTCAGAGCAGCCCTGGCACTGGGTGGGCACCCCTGGGTGCTGTTGCTGCTCCTTCTGCCCGTGTTGTAGGGGTGTGCACAGTGCTGGGGGTACGTGGGGAGCTGCTCCCTGGGGTGTCCTACCCAGGTGTGCAGCACTCATGGGGCCCTCCATATCCCAAGGGCATGGTCCTGAGAGTGTAAAGGCTGAGGGTGTTCTGGAGGGGCTCAGCTGGGCTCTAGTCAGGTTCTGTGGATGTCCTGGGGATCACTGCAGGTGAGTTACCCCCCCTGCTCACTACGGCACCTGCAGGTTTGGGCTGTGCCCTGCCAGGGGAGTGAGGCTGAAGCGGGACAAGAACAGGCCTGAGGGAGGGTGCAGACAGCTCTGGGCATGGCACGGAGCAGGAGGACTCAGCCTCCAACCCCTGGGGTCAAGGCAGGGAGGATGGGCAGGATCAGTCCCTTGGGTAAGACCTGTGACATCTTTCAGATCCTGAGAGCCGGGTCTGCCTCAGGAGGGCTGGGAGCCAGGAAGAAGACAGCTACATAAATGCCAACTACATCACAGTGAGTGTTCTCCCAGGGCTGCAGCGAGGGCTCCCAGGGCACCGGGCTGCAGGTGCCACACTGGGTCACACAAGCTGGGGCACTGTCACCTGCTCTCCTGTGGCTGCCTTGGGGCAGCAGACTTAACTTTCCACCCCTGTTAGAGCTGGAGATGTGGCTCCATCTGCACAGGGCAGATACACTGTTCCTGTGGTGGGAGAGTCTCACTAGGGAGCTGCTCTTGGCTCCTGGGCACACTGAGCACCCCAAAAGGCTCCCTTGCAGTGGCTTCTCCATCTGCTCCTCACACGCTGGCCCATTTTCTGGCAAAGGCATGGGAGGCAAGCTGTGTCAGCAGGTTATGGCATCTCAGAGATCCTCAAACCTCACTCATTCTGGGATTTCCTCTCTGCTCAGGGAGCTTGCTGCAATTTCCCAGGAAGGGAGCTAATGAAGATGGGGTGTGGCTTATGTTTGGCACATGGTGGGTTCCTTTCCAGAGACTGAGAAATCCCCGAACCCTAGGGTGTTACTTAGACGACTTGGTTTTGATTCCATCCCTGTGCAAACCCTTCCAGGCTGCAGTCTCTGCCAGAATGGGATCTCTGTGAGCCAGGTGCCAGCTTTGCCCGGCGGGCAAGGTTCTGGCTGAGCAACTGATCTCACTGCAGCACCCTGGCCTTGGGGCTGCCCAGGGCCAGGGAAGCAGAGGGGTGGCCGTGGGTGCTGTGAGTGAGGCAATGAGGGAAAGCAGGACTTGGAAAAGCAGCTCACAAAAAGTGCTGGCTGGGGTGACACCCAAACCCTGGGAGGTGGAGCTGGAGGGCTGTCAGGAGCATTTCTTTTCTGATCATGCTTGTGGCTCAGACCCACAGCAGCAACCAGCACCCAGCAGGGAGGGTGAAAGCTCCTTGAGACAGGAGCACTGTTCCCAGAGCTGCTGGGAGCTCCAGGGGCAGTTTGCTCACGGGCAGCAGAGGAGCTGTGTCTTCCTGAGGCAGCCTGGCAGCATGCAGCTGCACCTCGGGTGGCACTGCCACCCTGTCCCTACACCCCGGGGTGTGGGACACCCAGGAATGCTGGGTTTTTCTTTACAAGGTCTTTTAAGACTAAACTATTTAATTAAGAAATGACACCTAAATTATTTTCACTTTTAACTCAATAACTTAAATAATTACTTAAAGTCTGCAATGTGGGCATTTTTGTCTAATTACAAAACTCTACTTAAACTTATGAAGAAGTAGGTGAAGAAGAAAGACTAGTAACCACTTTAAAACTTCTATTTTAGTTCTATATGTATTATTATATTCTAAAACTTTAAGTTTTCTACTCAGTGATATTACACACTTCTAACTAAACTACATATTCATAATCCTAGTGCTGTCAATCAATTTTGGAAGCCCTCTCTACAGCCCAGGTCAAACAGTGTTCCCCTGGGGGTCAGAGTCTGTCAGCACAGAAAGTTTAAAATTCTCAGCATCCAGGGTTCCAACATCTCCCCCTCTTGTTGCATCCCCTGTGCCTCACCTGACTGCTGGCAATGCACAAGCACTGCCCACCCCTGTGTGCAGCTGGTATTTCCTGACCCCTTCCTTCCCCTTGCCTCCTCAGAGGTGTAGTGGTGCAGGAATTTGTGGGCACATCAGAAAATTGGCAACACAGCCTGCGTGGGCATGCCTGGGAGGCACAGGAATCTGGGAGGGCTCTGCAGGTGTTTGATCACATCAGCCCCACCTGGGATTGATGCTCTTCCTGCTGGGCACACACATGAAATGTTTTTGAGCATGGCTGTGGGGGAAAAGTGGAATTCCGAGGGTTGACACCCCCAGAGAATGACATTCCTTAATCATGTTTCCTAGGAAAAATAAATCATCTCGAGGCATGAAAATAGGGCTCTGCAAAATGTTCCTGAGAACATTCCTGTTCCTTAGCTGGGCCAGTGCAACTTCTTGTGAGACCAAACCATGAACAGATTGCTGGGAAGGCCTGGATTTTCTATACCTTTGGCAATTTTATACCAGTAGAAGTGTCTGGAGACAGAGGACGCTTGGAGCTGTGGAACAGGGATTCCTGTTTGTCCTTGTGGAAATTCCCACACTGAGGAGTGCAGCTCCTTGTGTGAGCTTTGCCTCGCCAAAGCACCCATCAGCTATTGTCACATGGATAGTGACCTTGGGTGTGCAAGGCCAGCTGCATGGACTTGCTCCTGGATGATGGGACCAGTGGGATGGGGAGGATGCCTGGTGGCTCCTCAGCAGATCTATAAAAGCATTTTAAGGACAGGTTTAGTAGGAAACAGCACGTGTAGCTCAGCCTCTAAACTGTGGAGGAGAAAAGTGTGGTGAGGGCTGGAGTGAGCTGGGCACAGCCCCCGGTGCCCTCAGGGTGTCCCTGACAGTCCCTGTGCTCGGCAGGGCTACGCGGGGCGGCCCCGGGAGTACATCGCCACACAGGGCCCCCTGCTGAACACCGTGACCGACTTCTGGCAGATGGTGTGGCAGGAGGAGGCTCCCCTCATCGTCATGATCACCGAGCTGCAGGAGCGCAAGGAGGTACCACTGAGCCTGCCAGGCCCTGGGCACAGCAGGGTGGGGTGCTGCTCACAGGGGAGGGCTGTGTGAGGCCAAATGTGGGGCTGTGCACCCACTCATTGTGCTTTTGACTCAGAAGGTTCCCTGATGAATCACAAGGGGAGGAGGAGATCCCCAGGGCTGCAGCCTTGGCCCTATCTGGTTTTCCTCCTCACATGGCTGTGTGCTCTGGGCTGGATAATAGGATAAAGGGTTGAGGGCAGCCCCCAGGGATGGGGCAGAAGCAGTGGGCAGCAGTGCCCCTCTGGCCCCCCAGAGCTCTGTCCTGGGCTGAGAGCTCTCAGGAGGGGATCCAGCCCAGGGGAGAGTTCTGGGGGGCCAGAGGGGTACTGCTGCCCATTGCTTCTGCTTCTGGGATGGGAACCACCAGCACCTGCCTGGGGGAACTGAGAACTGGAAACTCTTTCCTGGCCATGTCCTTGCTCCCTTCTCTCCCAGCTGACAGCCTCCCTGCGCCCTGGTCCTGCTGTCTGGAACCTTCCTGGGCTGAGCAGGGATATGCAATCCTGGGGCCTGAAAGCCAGGCCAGGGCATGGGAGAGGGTGCAGGGGTAGGGATCTATCCCTTGCTTTCCCTGTATCACTCTACCTCCACCTTCCTTGCTCTCCTACCACCCCAAAGGTGCTGCCCCTCCCAAGAGCACTGGCTCAAGCACAGTTCAAACATCCTTGAGGAGGGTCCTTGGGTGCCTTGAGCATCTCCACAGCCACAAACCTGCCTTGTTCTCCAGAAATGTGTCCACTACTGGCCCGAGAAGGAGGGCACCTATGGCCCCTTCACCATCCACGTGCAGGGGGTGAGCGAGTCTGTGGAGTACGTGGTGCGGGATCTCTCCATCCAGGTGGGTCTGAGCCTCATCCTGGGAGCACAGAGGGAGCACTTGGGGCCCAGCAGTGCCCCTGACACATCTCTGGTGAGATGGCAATGCTCTGTGACAGGAAAGAGGAGGGTTCATGATTCTCAGGAGGCCCCTGCCAGAGGAGAGGTGTGCAGAGCCTGGAGAAGCTGGGAGGGAGCAGGAGCCAGCCCTGGGGTGCAGAGGGGAAGGGGTCAGCTGGGCAGAGCAGCACCAGCCTGGTGTTTTTGCACTGTGTCATTGGACTCTGCCCCATGGGCTCTCTGTGTCACCCTGGGCTGACCCAGGCTAAAGGATCTGGTTTGTTTTGCCTGGACTCTGGTGGCAGTATTGGAACACTGCCTCTGTTCTCATCCTCTGTGATGGACATATCCATTGGCTCTGGCCCAGGGGTCTCTCCTTCATGTCTGGCAGAGACTCAAAGAGGGATTCAGGAGGAGAGTGGCTGAGATGGGTAGGGGCTGCTTGAGCTCTGCTGGGCCGTTTCATCTGGCCCAAGCCCTCACATCCCCATTTCTCTTTGTCCTGTGCTGGAAAAGCTTGGGAAGGAATGCCGCAAGGTCAAGCACATCCTCTTCCCCTCCTGGCCGGACCAGCAGACACCTGAGTCAGCCAAGCCCCTGCTGCACCTGGTGGCCAAGGTGGAGGAGGCTCTGCAGACTGCAGCCAGCCCAGGGCCCATCGTGGTGCACTGCAGGTAAGAGCTTGCACCTCACCTGAGCCCTATCTGTGCTTCTCCTCGGGGCCAATCCCCCATGAGTCCTCATGCACAGGTCCCATGCTGGTGCAGAAATCCCAGGGCACAGCCACCCACAGCAGAGCTGTCAATCAGCAGCTCCTGTCCTGGCAGCAGGATGGTGGCACTAAGAGTGGCATATCCTGCACTGGAGTCCAGCAGGGTGGGAGCAGGAGGGGTCTGCATTTGGGACCCAGCCACCAGCCCCACCCTACATCCACAGCTCCAGCTCTGGAAGATCCTGCTTGAGCAGGGAGATGGAACCATGTGACCCCATGGTTGGTCCCTTTGAACCTGACCCATTCCTGCTCCCTGTGCCACCAGCATGGCCTGTGGCTTGGATGTGGAGCCCTGTTTCAGGACAGCCCTCCTGCAGGAGGTGGCCTCTGCCTATTCTCTCCTTGCTGAGTGAATTTGGGGACAGTGGAGCAGAGCACCTGGTTGTCCATAGGGAACGTGCAGCTCGCACTTCTGCAGGCTGAGTGCCAACCTGGTGCTGGGGTTGGAGCCCAGCTGGGAGGGGAGGGGGCTGCAGAGCCCCCTGCAGTGCACATGGATGGGCACAGACTGGTTTTGTGCTTGCAGAGCAGCCTCAGCTGGGCTGTGCCACATGGCAAGAACTCCTTGCCATGGCAGAGTGACCCCAGCCCATGGCTTTTGGTGCCTGGCTCAGAACCTTGGTCTGGCAGCTGGGGTCAGGACCCCAGCATCCCTCTAGGCAGAAATCACAATCCAGGAGTGCACCCAGCTCAGCAATGCAGGTGCAGGCAGTGGGTGCTGTGGATGCTCACAGCTGTGTCTGCCCTGCAGCGCGGGCATCGGCCGCACCGGCTGCTTCATTGCCACCAGGATTGGGTGCCAGCAGCTGCAGGACAAGGGGGAGGTGGATATCCTTGGAATCGTGTGCCATCTGCGCATAGACAGGTGGGTACACAGAGCAGGTGGCTCCTGGAGGGTCCTGCTGGGTGCCAAGCCTGGGAGCAGGGCTGTGGGTGGGATGTGGCAGAGACATGGGGATGGGCATCCCAAGGGGGCACGGGGACTGTTTCTGCTGGAAACCAGAAGGGTGGCTGGGGGATGCAGGTGTGTGGATAGCAAACAATTCCCAGTGCCAGGCTGGTTCTGCAGTCAGAGCTGTTGTAGCTCTGACATGAGGACATGAGGGAGAGGAGAGAGGCTGTGAATCCGGCAGCCATCTGCTCCTCCCTTCCAGCTCAGCCACTAAATCCAGAAACACTCCACCTGGCCATTTTTCAAGAAGTACAGGTGAAATTAGCACCAAATCAGCTGCTAGTCTCATTTTGAACAGCCCAGCAATGCTCCTGAACCACTCTGTTCTTTGGGCTGATCTGCTGCCTGCTTCACAGGCATCTTGACATGGCTGGTGAAGGGAGAATGTTTGTGCCCTGGGGGCAGAGAGCTGGGAGCAGGGTTCTGTGTTTGGTGAAGTGTCAGTGGGCCCTGCCTTTCCCTTGCAGAGGTGGGATGATCCAGACGAGCGAGCAGTACCAGTTCCTCCACCACACGCTGGCTCTCTACGCTTCTCAGCTGCCAGAGGGGGCAGGCTGCTAGCGCAGGGCTCCCAGCGGGCTTGTGGCTCCCTGCTCTGACCTCTCCTGCACCAGCCTCGGGGACACCTTCACCAAAACCCCTGCTGATGCTGCCAGGCCACAGAGCAGCAGCGTGAGCATCCCTCGGGATGAGTACAGCCAAGCCAACCCCGACTGTGGCTTTGGACCCTGGGGATGAACCGCCACGGTGGCAGGGATCTGCAGCCAGGCAGTGAACAGGATCATGGGCTTTGGCACCCGGTACCTGGATGATTCCTTTGCACCCTACGGCAAAATTCTCCAGGTAAGGAGGAGGATGAGCCTGGGGCTGAGCTCCCAGCAGCAAGTCAGGGCAAGTGCCCTGGGAAGCTGTGGCTGCCCATCTGTGGAAGTTCCAGGAGAGGGCTCGGAGCAACCTGGGGTAGTGAAAGGTGTCCCTGCCCATGGAGGGGTGGGACTGGATGAGCTTTAAAGGTCCCTTGTAGGCACACAGATTGTGCTGGTTGGGATGGGGCTGGCCCAGCCTCACCCCCAGTGGGTGCAGCTGTGAGAAGCAGGTGAGCAGCACTGACAGCCATGAGCCATGGAGTGCCCAGGTGTGCTGAGCACCCACCAAAGGGAGCAGAGGGCACACGGGTGCACTGCAGGAACCATGAGGGGTACAAATTTTGGCTAAAGAACAAGAAGGGCTGTTGCTTGCAGCCCTCTGAAGTGGTCTGGTGTTACTCTGCATGGGTTGAAGCCCTCTGAAGTGGTCTGGTGTTACTCTGTATGGGCTGAACCTTCTGACATTGTACGGTGACACTGTGTATTGTGGTCGTCTCAGGTTTGATCTGCTCTGGCTGTGTCCTGAGAAACTGCCTCAGGTCCATAAAGAGCACAGGGTGCCAGCAGACAGAGGAAAGGAATCTCTCCAAAATCTTGTGCTTCCCCATGCCCTGGGCTAGCATTAAGCCCCTGAACTTGGCCAGGGATTTCAGCACAGCCAAGATTGCTGCTGTTCCTCAGTCCCCCACTTAAACCCCAGGTATGGTCCCAGCTGTCCTTGTCTGCTCACAGTGTTCCTGTGCTCCACAGGAGGTACAGCCCAGCCAGGCAGAGCTGGGGGCCCTGGGTTGCAGCATCCTGAGAACCATGTCCCCAGGAGGCCAGCTCCTGCCCAGTGCTCAGGAAAAGTCCTTCCTCTACACAATCATAAATAAGTTTGTGTTGCAAGTCCATCTAGTCCCAACCATTTCCACTATCCCAGGTTGCTCTGGGCCCTGGGCACTCCCAGGGATGGGGCAGCCACAGCTTCTCTGGGCAAACTGTGCCAGGGCCTCACCTCCCTCTTTGTGAAACATTTATTTTTTTACATCTAAGAAAAATATATTAGGTATAAAGATATAAGATCCTGTCCTATCCACATGACTGTAATTTGGGCTTGGGGTTTTCCAGGCTGGTAGTCCATTCCCTCCCATTGCAACAACTCACTGGGATGGGAGGAACAAAACATTGTGGCCCATGGCACACATCACTGTTGTGGCACACACCAGCTTTGGTGGTGGCAAGTAGACCCAGAATGCTCCAAATTCACTTGCAGCTGGTGGAAAGTTTCAATGCCATCAAACACAGCATTTCTTCAGCAGGTCCTTGGAAAGGCAAAGCATGTGCCAAAATCCAGCATTTTGAGTAATTAGTAATAGTTTTGCTCTCAGGTGAGTAATGGTAACCACAGGCTCCAACAGCACCTGTGGACTCCAAGTAATCAGTGACCAAGCCATCACCTGGAAAGGAGACATTTCAGGGCACACTTTGACATTCCCAGGCAGCACTGGGGTGCCAAGATCTCAAGAAGGCCCCATGGGAGCACCTGCAGCAGGTGAGACCCCACAGCAGCACCCACCCAGAACCAGAGGGAGGCTTGCCCTGGGAGCTGGGAGCACCAGGAACACTGAGGGACATGGCAGTGACAGCTCTTTGTGCTGCTCCTTGGTAAGCCAGGGTTAAACTCAGCCAGGGGAGCACCAGGAAAAGCCCCCCCTCACCCACATGGGCTGGCACAGCCCTGAGCTCTGCTTCCTTAAGGAATTCAGTTGAGCAACCACATCAAACCCTCCTGGGAATGTCAGACATGCTCTGGAGAGGTCTGGGGGTCTCAGGTCTGGAGAGGCCCTGGGGTGGTACCAGATCTTGCACAGGACTCTGCCCAGAGCCCAGCTCTGGCACAGACACCATGAGGTGACACCATGGGGGACAGTGCTGCCAGGGTGCAGCCCTGCAGGTGCTACATGGACCCTCTGCAGGGAGTAGAGCTTGGGACCCTGGTTCAAACCACTGCGAAACAGCCCCATGCCCCCAAACCTGTCAGGGCTGACTCCCCTTGATGGGAATACGGGAAATAGGGTGGGTGGAGTGGGGATAGTGCATGAAAATTATCTTTTTTGCTCATTTGTTTGTCTCTCCCAGTGTGGGGATGGTCAACAACTGAACTGTAGTCCCTGCTGTGAGGGGTGAGTTTGGTTTGGGCACTGGATGGGCAGTGTCTGTGGCAGGGACTGCAGGAACATCCAGGGGCAATCCCTAACAGCTTCAGTGCTGCAGGACTGCTGGGGGGAAAGCCCCAAACTGGTGTAGGGACATTCTTAGGGTTCAGTGTTTATTAAAAATCTGTTTTCCCCCTGTATTTGTGAGGCCCCACCTCGAATGCTGGATAGAGTTTTGGGCCCCTCATGAAAGAAAGGCACCTCAAGTGCTGGAGCATGTCCAGAGAAGGGAATGGAGCTGGGGAAGGATCTGGAGCATCAGGAGGAGCTGGGAAAGGGGCTCAGCCTGGAGAAAAGGAGGCTCAGGGGGAACCTTGTGGCTCTGCACAACTCCTGACAAGAGGGGAGAGATGGGGGGAGTTTGGCCCTGCTCTCAGGGAACAGGGACAGGAGGAGAGGGAACAGTCTCAAGTTGCACTGGGGGCAGTTTAGATTGGATATTAGGAAAGATTTATTCGCCAAAAGGGTGGCCAGGCCCTGGCACAGGCTGCCCAGGGTAGTGCTGGAGTCACCATGGGGCATGGTTCAGTGGTGACCATGGCAGTGCTGGGATAATGGTTGGACTCGATATTAGAGGACTTTTCCCATCTGAACAATCCTCTGATTCTATGAAAATAAAAAACCTTCAAGCAGAAATTACATGCAAAATGTGGGGGATGATGAATTTTTCACTGGTATGAGGAGTTCTGAAGGGGAAAAAACAACAAAAAACAATGATATTTCTGCTTCCTCAGGCCTCCCTTCAGGAGCACAGGGATCCTGAGCTGGCTGCAGCAGCTTGGAAAGCAAAATGCTTTCTGTCTCCAAAAATAAAGTCAGCTTCCCCGTGACTTACAGCACATGAGGGAAACTTCCCCACCATTAATTGTCAGGGGCTGTGAGGTGAATTGAGCCCCAGCCCAGTTTCCCCATTTCCTGTGCACACACATTTGTCTCAGGCAGCCCCAGCAGTGGATTCAGCACTTTGTCTCTCACAGAGCACCAGCAACCTCTCCACGTGGGCTCTGCCCAGCAGCTGCTGCAATAAAGGACCTGCTGTGAGGGAATTGCAAACAGCCTGGTGTGTCAGTCCTTGCTTTAGGCCTGGCTCAAATCCCACGTGGATGGAACTGTGCCGCGTTGGCGTGGCACAGCCAGGCAGCCCCTGCCCTGAGCGCTCAGCACGGCGTGGGAGAGCACAGCAGAGCCAAGGCACAGCGAGCACAGCCCTGGGGCAGCTCTGCACCCCCCAGCCCAGCAGAGCTGAGCAGGGCCAAAGCAGGAGGGTTTTGAGGCTGCTGAACCTGATGGCTGAAGGCTGCCGTGGCAGCAGGCTGGGTACAGGTCTCGCAGGAACATCCTTCCAGGGAGCTGTGCCTTTGGGTTGTGTCTCATTCTCCAGCTGGGAATTGTTAGCTTCTGTGGCATTGCTCGGGGCTCCTGGCACCCCTTACGCCCCAGTGCCACCCTGGCTGCTGGCCCCCAGCTCTCCTGCACACCCCACATCCTGCACCCCCAGTCCTCCTGCACTGATCACACCCTGCACCCTCCAGTACCGCAGGACCTCTGCAACCCCAGCACCCCTGTGCCCTGCATCTCGCCCACCCAGGCCTGCCCACACTGCCTGCACCCCTCAAACACCTACACCACAGCACCATCAGCATCCCTGCAACCTGCACCCAAACCATCTCTGCACCATTACAGCCTGCACCTGAACCATCCCTGCATCCATGAGCCTGCACCTGAACCATCACTGCATCCTGCACCCCACTGCAGCCTGCACCCAAACCATCCCTGCCCCCTGCACCCACTGCAGCCTGCACCTGAACCTTCACTGCAGCCTGCACCCACTGCAGCCTGCACCCAAACCATTCCTGCCCCCTGCACCCACTGCAGCCTGCACCTGAACCATCACACAGACATCACCTGGGGAAAGTGAGGCCTGAGGCCAAGCACCAGCTCAAAGCACAGCCTCCAAAACCACTGAAGCAGTGAGTGGCCCACCACTGAGGAAAACAGGAGGTGGCTGAGGTCCCCTCTGTGCCCATGGAGGTCCCATCACAGCAGGGTGCACCTCCCTCAGGGCTGGAGCTCCAGGTCCCCCCTCAGCCACCAGCGTTCCCCGAGCCTCGGGAGCCAGAGTCCCTGCTGGGGCCTCGCCACCCCTGGTGTTACCTTGCCACACCCTCTTTTGGATGCCACCAGCCCTGGGCAAGAGCACCCATGGCCAGGGGCAGCTCCTGCCTTGGCCGCTGGCCAGGTGCTGTACCTATGGCAGGTGGCACCAGGGGGACAGGTGACCCCAGGGGGGCAGTGGAACTGCAGTGGGGCAGCCCCACGGGCTGGCTCGGTCCTGCTGTGTGTGCCAGGGGTCCCAGTGGCACTCCCAGGTGTGTGGGGGCTGGCGTGCAGGGGGGCTGGTACTGGTGCGGGATTGGGGTGTGCCCCGTGGCATGGCTGGAGGGGCTGGTGCCAGCCGTGCCAGGGCACTGCCAGGGGTGCAGGGAATGCACCTGCCGGTGCTGGGTGCAGGTGAACAGCACGGGGGGCACTGGGGCACAGGGGGGATGGAGGTGGGAGTGCTGGGTGCAGGTGAGCAGCACGGGGGGCAGCACGGGGGGCAGTGGGGGTGATGGA